CCTATCCCCTCGTGTGCCTTGCCTCCCACCGACTATATATAGAAAAAATTTTGGTACACCATGCGTACCGCTACAATAAATGCCCAACGGCCCAGATCGAATCTGGGCCGATCTGATGGTCACAGTTGTCTGAGAGTGTTTTAATTTTAATATTTTTCTACAAATCAGAATGATATGAAATTTGGAACGTGTGTACATCTTAGTGAAGCGCACCTAAAAAAAATATAAAAACAATAATTAGTATAAAAATGACAAAAATACCCTTGAAATGTTTCAGGGGTATTTTTATCAATTTATTTCTTGTAAAATATTTTTTTGATATTTTTCGTAGATTCGTCTATTTTTTATGAATATAAAATCAAAATTTCATATCATTCCAATATGTAAATAAAAAATAAAAAATAAAACACTACCGAATATCTATAATCGTCAGATCGGCCCAGATTCTATCAAGGTCGTTTGGCGTTTACTATAGCGGTACATGAATCAGCTTAACGTAGCATCTTCCATAGTAATAGAACTAATAAAATAAAGAATAGAAATAAGAAAGAATAATTTATACAAAGATTTGTTCCTAAAAATAAAAATAGAAAAGGGAAAAGAAACCTTTCAGTATGCTATAAATGTGGCAAAGTTGGTCATTATAAGAACAACTGTAAAGTTAAAAAACAAATAGATTCTATTATACTAGATGAAAAATATTAGAAATAAAATTTATGATATTGTACAACTATATGAGACATCTAGTTCTGATAACTCTGATTCAGAATCAAGTAAATCGTCGGAAATAGAAATAATAAATGATGAAGATTTAATTTATGAAACTACAGAACCAGAGGAATGTTCTTGTAATAAGCTTTCTCAAGAAGAAAGTTTAATCTTAGATTTGATAGATAGAATTACAAATGGTAATGAAAGAAGAGATATAATTGAACAATATATTAACATATTTAAGAAAAAACATAAACCATCTCCATTAGTCAAACCTCCAGAAGAATATAATTTTTCAAAAATACTTAAAAGAATTCAAAAAAGAGAATCCAAAAGAGAACCAACCATATCTGAATTAAAACAAAAAATTAATGAAGTAAAAGGAGAAGTTCAAAAACTCAAAAATGGAATAAGAATACTTGAATTAAATAATGATTTAACTAAAAACACTGAAAATCTTTTAGAAGATGAAGAATTAGAATTCAATAATCTACTAAATCAAACTATCAAAGAAAACCCAGAATCTTCAGGAACTATACCTCAGAATGGTTATATAAATGTAATAAATAGAGTTATGAATAAAAAATGGTTTACTTTAATCAAAATAATAGTTAAAAACGAATACAGCTTTCAATCTTTAGCCTTAATAGATTCAGGAGCAGACTTAAATTGCATTAATGAAGGGCTGGTTCCTACCAAATATTTTGATAAAACGACGTAAATATTAAATACAGATGATGGTAGTAGACTATTTATTAAATACAAACTATCTAATGCCGTCATTTGTAATAATGGTATTTGCTTCGAATTACCATTCATAATGGTAAAAGGATTAAATCAAACAGTAATTTTAGGAACACCATTTCTTAGCATTCTTTATCCTATAAAAATTGATCAAACTGGAATAGAATCAAATATTGACGGCAATATTGTTAAATTTGAATTTATAGACAAACCAAAAATAAAAGAAATCAATAATGTAAAACAAAGCATTGAAAATAAAGAAAGATATCTATGCCATCTAAAAGAATAAATAAAATAAAAAACTATAGAGGAAGATTTATTATTACCAGAAATAAAAAAGAAAATAGAAAAAATAAAAAATCAAATAGAAAAAGAAGTATGTAACGAATTACCTAATGCATTCTGGAATAGACAAAAACATATAATAAATTTACCAAATGAAGAAAAGTTCGAAGAAAATAGAATACCCACAAAAGCAAGACCCATACAAATGAATGCAAGGCTCCTTAAAATTTGTAAAAAAGAGATCGATGAACTCCTTAGAAAAAATTTAATCAGAAAAAGCTCATCTCCTTGGAGTTGTGCCGCTTTTTATGTTGAAAATAATGTTGAAAAAGAAAGAGGAGTTTCAAGACTAGTAATAAATTATAAACCTCTTAATAAAGTATTAAAATGGGTTAGATATCCTATACCTAATAAAAAAGATATTTTAAATAGACTAGTAAATGCCTGTATATTTTCAAAATTTAATCTCAAGTTAGGATACTGACAAATACAAATAAACGAAGTTGATAGATATAAACCGCTTTCAATGTCCCTTTTGGATAATACGAATGGAATGTTATGCCTTTCGATTTAAAGAATGTTCCTTCGGAATTTCAAAAAATTATGAACGAGATATTTAACCCATACACTAAATTTATGATAGTCTATATTGATGATGTTTTAATCTTTTCAGAAGATTTACATCAACATTTTAAACATATTAATATTTTTCTTAATGCTATTAAAAATACAGGATTAGTTGTTTATGCTAAAAAAATTAATCTTTGCCAAACCAAAGTAAGATTTTTAGGACATAATATATACCAAGGAACTATTAATCCGATAGATAGAGCTATTGAATTTGCAAGTAAATTTCCTGATATTATTTTTACCAAAGTTGAACTTCAAAGATTTCTTGGATGCTTAAACTATATTGCAGACTTTTATAAAAACCTAGCAATAGATGCAAAACCCCTTTATGATAGATTAAAAAAGAATCCACCAAAATGGACTGATGTTCATACAAATGCAGCACAAAAAATAAAACTAAAATCACAAGAATTGCCTTGCTTAGCCTTGGCAAATCCAAATGCACTTAAAATTATAGAATGCGATGCATCAGAATATGGTCTAGGATGAATTCTTAAACAAAAATTAAATAATGAAAAGGAACTACTAGTTAGATATACATCTAAAGCCTGGGATACTACACAACAAAATTATTCTACTATTAAAAAAGAAATTCTTGCAATCGTTCATTGTCTAACAAAATTTCAAAGTGATCTACTTAATATTTCATTCATTATACAAACTGATTGCAAATCTGCTAAATATATACAAATCCAAATGCACTTAAAATTATAGAATGCGATGCATCAGAATATGGTCTAGGAGGAATTCTTAAACAAAAATTTAATAATGAAAAGGAACAACTAGTTAGATATACATCTAAAGCCTGGAATACTACACAACAA